CCAGAGCACTGTCACTACCAGCCAAGCCGCGTCAATCACGAGCTTTAATTCCATCACTGGCTCACTCAGACATGTCACATATGTTAAATGCAACATTTTAAACCTCCCCCGGGACACAGTAACAAGTTATATTCCTCAACTTTACAGTGCTAGTGACATACTAAGCCTGACATATCACTGAACAAGAAAGTTAGGAATGAAAATCTCATGTGAAATTCTATAGCATGTTCTACAAACGCTGCCAAATCAAATGTCACCCGGCAGAGGATACACTTTTTTTTTTCTCACACACTGGCATCCTTATATAACAGTCTAACAGCTACGGGAAAAATAAAAAGATTTCACTTTCACAATTTGATTAGAGAAAAGCTTTTTATGGTCTTTTACCGGTTCTGTTCAGGTAACCTCAGACATGCAATTATTGTTTGATTATGGGTGGATCAGGCAAGGATTTTAATATCAATCAGCTGCAGGAGGTCGTTTAATCCAGAGGAACAGGAGATTAGTTGTGTTCCGTTTTTTGGGGTTCAATTGGATATTGCAAACTCACCGCACTGAATGATCTGGCATGCTTCATGAATCCCCAAGAAATGTGATGAAAAGCAAACCTTATGGAGAAAAGGCAAACTTGGAACTGTCCTAAGTGCTCGCACACAGACACAATGAAAATGAGCCTTGCACTGAAATGAGGAGTCCCCTCCCCCATCTAAAATCAGCGCATTATTAAACCTGTAAAAAAAAAAACACACACACACACACCCGAAAGTAAAAAATATAGTTGCCGAAGGCCCGGTTTCCACCAGCAGAGCCAGCACAACTCAGTGCAACTTTCTTGCAAGAATCGGGATACTCAACTTTCCCTGGATCTCACCAGTGCAGACGGCAGGCTAAAAGTAAGTATTTAAGGTGCAGGCCACATTCACACCACATCCAGATCATCTCCATAAACAGACCAGATTGTTTCCATACCCCAAAATGCATCCTAATGTATCCCTATACTATTTCTGGTCTCTGTTCACACCAGTGCAGTCTGTTCCAGACCAGACCAGACCAGGCAAATACTGCATGTCTCATTTAGTCTGGTCTGGAATGCACTGGAAATGCGGGCTGCCAGTTGTCATTCAGTTGCTAATTTGCTCTAAATAGCTGGAGATATAGTTGCAGGCTATATAATGACAGCACAGTAGTAAAATGACTCTCTAATTCTAAAATTTAAACATTATAGGCAGGTTCACACCCTTTTCCGGACCAGATCTGGTCCGGAAAAGGGTGTGAACCTGCCTATAATGTTTAAATTTTAGAATTAGAGAGTCATTTTACTACTGTGCTGTCATTATATAGCCTGCAACTATATCTCCAGCTATTTAGAGCAAATTAGCAACTGAATGACAACTGGCCCTGTATGTAGTTTCAGTAAGGCCAGGTTCACACCATTTTCGGGACCAGATCTGGAATGCGGTGCCTTGCGTTTTGCCGTATTTTGCAGCGTTCTGAAGCGGGTTTTTTAGCTCAAAATGGGCTTTCAGGTGCAGTCCGATGTATTTGTATGCATTTTTGATGCGTTTCCATGCATTCCAGACCAGAGAAAATGAGACAAGCAGTATTTTTTTTGTCTGGTCTGGAACGGACTGCGCTGGTGTGAAGAGAGCCCAGAAATACCATAGGTATACTTTAGGATGCTTTTTTTGGTCCGGGAACAAACTGTTCTGGATATGATCCGGACACGGTGTGAACAAGCCCTTAGACCAGGACACGTCAACTCCTGATTGCCAGGTTGCCATGGTGACTAAAAATGCTGGTCACTGAAGTCTCTACTTGCAGTCTCATGGACTTTAGTTTCATCAGTCATTCAATAGGTGGCGTCTGGAAGAAAACCATCAGTGCTAGAAGTCCCGGTGTAGCTATGCATCAGTTACATGTGTGTGGGTACAGGGGGCACTATGCATCAGTTACATGTGTGTGGGTACAGGGGACACTATGCATCAGTTATATGTGTGTGGGTACAGGGGACACTATGCATCAGTTACAGGTATATGCGCACAGGGAACACTATGCATCACTTACATGTGTGTGCGCAGAGGGGACACTATACACTAGTTACGTGTGTGCATGCAGTGGACACTATACATCAGTTATATGCATCTGTGCACATAGGGGACAGTATGTATCAGTTACGTGTGTGCAACAATGGGACACTATGCATCCGTTTCATGTGTGCTCACAGGGGAAACTATGCATCAGTTAAATGTGTGTGCACACAGGGGACATTATACATCAGTTATGTGTGTACACCGGGGACACTATACATCACTTATGTGTGCACAAAGGGGACAATATACATCAGTTATGTGTGTACACAGGGGGCACTATACATCAGTTACACGTGTGTGCACACAAAGGACATTATGCATCAGTTATGTGTGCACACAGGGGACACTATACAGTTAGACGTGTGTGCACACAAGGGACACTATGCATCAGTTACGTGTAATTGTGTGTGCACAGGGGACAATATGTGGTAGTTACATATCTGGGGGGGGGTAGAGCATGGATATATAATGTGTGCGTGTCACAGTAAGCATAATTCAAGCGTGTACTTACTCTTCCGTAAAATGTGTGTATATGTCCAAAAAACAGGACAATGTTGTCCAGGATTTGTCCAGGTCTGTTTTAATGATTTATTTACAAACACAGAGTGTACTAAATGCTTGTAAATGGGTTTGTAAATTGCTGACGGGCAGTTTTTTTTTTATGACAGAAGAGACTGTTGGCAACCTGCCTGTCAGCAATTGTTCTTGTTTCTGTGCACAGACCCAGCATGCCAAAATAAAATTACGCCTGGTGCCTGCGCAGGAGTTGCATCTTGCCGGCCGGCCAATCAATAGGCAGAATACGCCAAATCCAGAAGCAGAAGATGGAGAAGACCCGGAGAAGATGGCAGCACCGGCTACGGAGGGGAGAGCAGACAGCGCAGCTCTGGAGGAATTTGTTTTAGATGGTAAGTTGGAGATAATCTGCATATTCGCACATTATGGCAAACACCAGCACAGCACTTTTTTATTTTTAAACCCACATTACTGTACAATCGTACGACTTTTGACGGTCAAGCATGTTTGAAAACTTTGCTCGATGGTACAATTGTCGTAAGGTTGCTGGCGTTTCCGTCCGTCAAAAGTCGTACGATCTACACTGCGCTTGCGCGAACGAAAATACGACAAATCAATTACCGCATTTCGTCCAGGTGCTTTTAATTAATTACGGCTAAATTAATCTTGCGATCACCGGGGCAGGATGGGGCTGCCGTACGAAAATCGTACGACTATTCGATCGGACGAAAAGTTTCATCCGATAATCATAAGGTGTATGGGCAACATTAAGGTGCCCATACACCTTACGATTATCGGCTTTTGACGGACGGAAACGCCAGCAACCTTACGACAATCGTACGATCTAGCAAAGTTTTCAAACATGCTTGACCGTCAAAAGTCGTACGATTGTACAGTACTGTCGGTCGGACACTGCAATGCACACATGCGATTATCGGACGAAAAGCCGATCGCATACGAAAATCGTCCGATAATCGCAAGGTGTATGGGCACCTTTAGACAGCGAGTCAAAAGTGTGTCTCCACTGTAGGACTTTCTTCTGAGAAAGCCCAGCATTCTCCATAAACACAGTATTGTAGTAGCACCATGTATAAAACGTTTAGTTGTAAAATAAAGATTTTATACAAGTACAAAAAAAAAAAAGTTATTTATTACTGTAAATAAAATTGTCCAATAATCATTATAGTTTCCGTTTAAGAATGGGGTGTACTACACCAATTTGTGGATCAAACACAGAAGCATAAGGCATTGTAAGGCTAACTGCTCAGTTCTGACTGCAGTATACTTGTTATAGGAATGACATTTGATATTAAGCTACGATATAATCAACAGCAATTACTATGATTACAGAGGGGAAAATACCAGTAAATGAAAAGAAAAATGTAGAATTTCAATTAAAGAATCCTGAGTAATAATTTATTTGCCGTAAAAGATCTGCGTCTAGAATGTGAACCGTGTTGTCGCTTACGTGAAATCTCATCAAACTCTGTAATACTGAGGTCATGTCTGAGGTGAGCAGTCTGAGAAAAACAACTCCTCAGTATAAGCTAATACTGCAAACTAATGAGTCAATACTATTAACACCTGCACATTAAATGTATTTCAGCTGGCAGCCTTCCCAGAAAGAGCCTGGAATGTAATATAGTGAGGAGGGGAAAAAAGAAAATACATTTTGAAGTCTAATTAGAAAGCTCTCTTTTGTGCAAGTCTCGGGCTAAAATGTTTGCCACTGCAACCAAACCTAATGCTTTGAGCCGACTTGGCACCCACTTGAAAGGTGATGGGTCCTGACACCAGAAACACTCGACTAAGCCAAGAGACGTTAGGATGGGGAGAGTGCAGGAAGAATCACAAAGGGTCAGGGACAAAGGATCTGGGCTCCATTTTAGTGTCTGCATGAGTCGTCCACTCAACTGTCAATGTGCTCCTCTAGTTCCCTTAAAGTGAAACATTACATATAGATATACAGTATATACACACACACACACACACACACACACACACACACACACACACCAAGCAATGCATTTTAGGAACCCCATACCATTAGTGGAAAGGCCTCAAAACAGCTTCAATTCTTTGCGGCAACGATTCTATATTCCACAAACATTACTTTGAGATTCTGGTCCATGTCAACCAGATTGCATCACACAATTTCTGCATGCTTGTCAGCTGCACGCTCATTTTCATATAATGTAACTTCTGCACAAGACCTGACTCACAATACCGAGTTTTTTTGAGAAACTTAAAGTGAACCTGTCCCCAGGCTATGGGTATTGAATTCTTTATTTCTTCTTAATAAGCAGTAGACTAACCTCAGTAGCTACCTGCAGAGCAACTCATCCTCAAAACTCACAGTAGAAACACTTAAATACCAAAGTACATTGCACATACCTGATGATGCTGAATTCTACTTATATTGCCGGTAAAGTTGTGATATAAATGGAACTTGTCAACATCTTTTACATTTCCTTCCTTTTCCTTTTCCTTTCCCATAGTTTTAGCCAACGTTGAATTGATAGTGACGTAATTTTGTTTACACCTAAAAGTGAAAACAGCACACAGCAGTGGTGTAAGCTTTTTATTTTGATCAATTAAAATGCAGCTTTACTGTTCTTTAAAATAACACAATGAGCCCGTGCTACAAAACTGGAAAAAAAAATGTTATAAGAACACTGAAAACTGTGAGGCCTGGTGCAGACCTGAGCAATCCGGGATCACGCAGTCCTGCACAAAAGCAGGCAGCGATTACCGCGCGGCCCCATTGATTTCAATGGGGTGACATCCCCGCGGCAGTCGCAGAAAAAAGGTACATGTCCTTTTCTTTGCGAAACACAATGCAGGGCTGTTTTAGATCTGCCCAACGCGACTGGGGTGCCATTAGAAAATAATGGCACCCACAGCACGAACATCTGTGCTGGGCGACTCCGTGACCGCACTGCAATCCGCGCACGATTGCTGCGCGGTCAGGAGTCGCCTAGGTGTGCACCGGTCCTTAAGGTGGCTATGTTGCTTTCCTCCGAAAATCTAAAGAATTTCTCATAGCAAAGGAAGATGTATCTCCCATTGTCCTCAATGGTACCTCCGACCAACCTTTATGTCCTGTAGTGACGTAGGGGTCAGTGGGAGGAACCACTGAGTACACAGGGGGAAACAGAGCCTTTGGCGCATCAAGATCAAGACAGAAGAGTTCAGACTTGCCATCCACTGGAGAGGCAAGTATACAGAGGAAGAAATTTATCAAAATTGGAGAAGACAGAATCTGGAGGAAGCAAAAGAATTGCACTTTTGGAGATTTTTGGAGTTAGATGACACGACCAAGTTTAGCAGCGTCAGTATGCATCAGTTTTTTTAACAATTCTATGACTTATATTTTCTATTTGACATCAGATATGAGAACCAGGAACACACACAGTTGCACATTCCTGTTTCTGTGGTTGGTTTCTCTTACAGGTTTCTAATGTGCTCCAGCGTGTCTTTGTCTTTGGCAATCATGTCTGCTAAGATGTGCTGCACTCCCATCTCGATATCTTGAAGTGTGGTAAGACCTTCAACATAAAAAAAGGACATTAATCAAGACGAACTAGTATGCATCCATTGGTATATATAGAGCAACAATATTGTATATAACAAAGCACTGTACATTAGTGGCTCCCAACCTTTATTCACTTGTGTACCCCTTGCCAGCCCATTTGTATAAACTGTACCCCTCAATAGGGGTGGGAAAGAGTAGGGGGTGGGGCTAACAGAAAAATGTGTAGTGCACCACACACGGTGTACTAATACTGGGAGAAAGAAAATGCGGAATTAAGTCCCTGATGCCCCCCCACTGCCATAGCCTGTAAATCCAAGGACCCTCCCCTGAAAATAAGACCTGGTGTGGTTTTTGGGGGCAAAAAAAATATAAGACAGTATCTTATTTTCGGGTAAACACGGTACAAGTTGCTTCACTGACCTATAGTAAGGCCTGAAAGGCTAGAGCAGAGGTGGGCAAACGCCAGCCCTCCAGCAGTGTTGGAACTACAAACCCTATCATGCATCTATACCTGGGAGACATGTCTGTGGCTGTGAGAATCTTGCAATGTCTAATGGGATTTGTAGCTCCACAACAGCTGGAGGGCCGGAGTTTGCTCACCCCTGGCCTGGAGGGTATACGGCCCAGGCTTGGCCACAGTGACTAGTTGAGATAATCATAAGAGAGTGCCCTCAGTGTCCAGGGCTTTCAAGGAGTTCTGCAAGTTACAGTATGTGACATACTGCGACCTCACTGTGTCTTCTTTCCATGTCTGCTGCTGGTTTAGAGGATTCTAAGTGAAGACTGGTTCTCTTTAACCACGACTAAACAGCAGGAGCATTAACCTGAATTGCAGCGATTTCTGCAGACAACAGATAGTCATGTTCAACAATGCTGCACATAGGACAAGTCTACAGTTATTAGAAAGAAATGAAAATGTACAATATTCTGGCAATGTTTAACCCGAATATAGAATTTATAGAAGACAACTGTCAGTTTCTTATGAAACACTGCCCTCTACTGACTGACACTTCAAGGACAGGCTCCGTGGAAATAGATGATGAAGCATTTCAAGTCCAATTATAACCTTGCAAACCAATGCCAGGACCTATAGCTCTACAAAATCAAAGAGGTTATCAACAAAAACATATACTCTGCCTACTGACTGTCTTGGAGCATGAACATCTTACTGAATATTTTTGCATCTCTCTGGTCTGGGCCTGACCAAAATAAAAAAACTGACCTGTGGGGGAGTCACATAGTACAATTAAATTTAAAAACAGATTTTAGGCATTGAAAACTAACAGCATCCATTAATTAAAGCCGTTATGGGCAAATTAAATCTTAACCCTTGCCATGGGGCTATCCCCGCATTGTAAGGGTTAAGTGCTTGTATTGTCATAGGCAGGGGTCCCCAACTGGGAGCCCAGTGGCCTGTTAAGAACTGGGCCGCAGCCGCCAGCAGTCTCCTCGGCCAGGGCCGGATTAACAAAGGGGCGTGTGCAGCTCCCGCTCCAGGCCCAGGCACGCCCTTGCTAATAGGCCCGGATCGCCTCAGTATGCCCAAAGGCAATCTGGGCCGGCCACAATCAGGCACAGACAGTCCTCTGCTCAGACATATTAGAAGGCCTCTGATTAGAGCTACCTAAACCACTGACCACCTGAGAGCAGGAAAATGAGCTCAGGGCTCCCACTGATTCTGTATTAGGGTGAGTTGTATAATTATTTTATTATATATTACAATGTAATAATAATAGAAATAAAGTGCACAATAAATGCGACTGAATCATCCCGAAACCATACTTGTCGATAATAAAATCCAGCAAGAGACTGAGCAACCTCCCTGGGAGGGGGTTTTACAACCTGAAACTGAGCTGATATTTCTGCAATGGCAGGGAGAAAATACAGCTAAATTACAACACACACACACAGGAATGTACTAATATATGAGAGTAGAGATTGAGATTCTTATAAACATTTTAATGGTTTGCTTTAAAAACTAAAATTCAAATAATCCACATCCTGTACCTTCTGTGTCATTCTTGATATAAGTGTGCAGGTTGAGTTGCACAGGGGTCTCTATCAGAGCTTTGGCTGCAGGCTCTAGTCCCAGCTGTCTAGCTCTTTGTGCTTTAGTTCCTTTGCTTCCTGTTTTGAATGGAGCGTACTGTGAAAGACACAAGAGTCAGTCCTCCAATAACATCTATCCATACACATCATCATGCCAAAACAATTAATGATTAATATTAAAAGAAAGCTATAAATAATTGTCCAACGTGCCTTTTTATTTATTTATTTTCATTAATGCAAGCTTACATTACCAGCTAGTAACTAGGGATGCACCGATACCGAGTACTTGGGCGAGAACTCGCCCAAATGCTCCCGATACCGGAAGTTCATTACACGCCGCCCAACTTCTCGATTGGCCGCAAAGCCTGCTCCATGCTCCCTCGTCACCAGGGAGCACGGAGCTGGCTTGTTAACCAATCAGGAAGTCGGGCAGCGAGTCATTACCTGCCCCTCAGTTTTCTGATTGGCCAGAAAGACGGCTCCATGATTACATGCCGCCTGTCTTCCTTAATGGGACTTGATAATGAAAAAACGGTATTGGTGTATCCATACCAGTAACTACATCCTCTCCAAATGTACTTGAAAAAGGAGCCTACAAATGGTAAGGTCATCTAATAACAAATAGGAAACTAATGCAATGCTACAGCCATTTTGTTACCATGAATAAAAGATTCATCCTTTCATCAATAACAAAAGTTAAAGCGCTGACATAAGACTGCTGATTGGTAGAGAGGTAGATTGGGTTACTACCGTAGTACACTTAATCGATTATAATCGATTATGTCGATTAGTTGTTGCAGCCCTAGTACACTGTCCTTAGCCTTTCTGAAAGGTCAATCATCCAAAACGCATATTTTAGCTTTATCTCACCATTTCTCTAGAGATCTCTACTAGACAGCCATTGACCCGATTCCATCTATATCTAAAACATTTCTGTAAGTGAAATAAATTCTAATCTAATATATAAAACAAATACTAACCACATGCTCAATTTCATCCAAGGTCCTGCAGTTGAGCATGTCATTGTGTAGATTGGAGTTCAGCTTCCCTTCTTTCTTCAGCTTCTCTATCAGAGAGTGGGCCTTTCTGGCTACAGACCTACACACAGATAGAAATTCTCAATGAAGAAGGTCGAGTCAAACATTTTGATCAGAATTGAATTCATGACGAGAAGATCACTCATCTTATTTCTATACAAAGGCTGGTCTACATAACTACAGGTAAATATATTTTCAAAAATCACCCTATAGGTCACGTATGAAATGTTAGGATACAATTACTCATGTTCATCATCTCATGAAAAATTAAAAGAGAACTATAGGGCAAGTGTTTTTCCCCATAGTTCTCTTTAGGGTCACAGGAGGACATATACTAGCGTCCTCCCATGACCCAAAGCTCATTATATTGCAAGCTACAGCTTGCAGTATACTGAGACCGCCACAGCCGGGACAGATCCCAACAATGCTGTTGAGATCTACCCAGCTGCATGAATGACAGCTGGCTCTGCCTATCTAGAGACAGAGCCAGCTGTACCATCCGTTCCTCCAGTCAGCATTGGAGGATCGGAGAGGAGAGGGGGGAATTCCTGCGGGGAGCGATGACTGACAGTCACTGCTCTCTGCAGGGAGATGGTCAAGAAGTGAGCGAGCGGCGGTATGTGTTCGATCACTTCCCGATCTATTGAGCCGACCAGTGACAGTTTAATTGTCACACGTCGGCTCGAACTATGAGGGTGAGTGATTTTCACTCAACTCATAGTTCTCCTTTAAGCTTCCACGTACTAGCTGAAATCAGGCTTACAATGATGGGGCCTGTTCTGTATGCGGAGGACAGTGGAGGGAAAGAATGGGAAGAAGGAGGAGTTTGGGGAGTACAAAGATATGTATATTCCTTTACAAACGTTTTACTTACTAAAACAATTCCTATGCATGCTTTTCAGCAGCAAAATGTAGGTGGAGTTGCCACTAATTAAAAAGACTGGGTAGGTCATTTTCAGAGGAAGCCTGGTCTACAGCCTACCAACTGACACACACCTCCTCTATTTCTGATCACCACCTAGAAAAAAGTGATAAGATGTTATCTAGGTGGTACAGATGCCCCACTACTTTAAAATGCATGTATCCGTCAACTTCTGACATTTGCTGCAGGTGTAAGGAGCAAAGGTGCACCTATATTCATATATGGTGGGAGTGTGCTAAGGTACAACCCTTTTGGAAGAAGGTCTTCAGAGCGTATAACACCATGCAGGCCACTAACCTCACGGCCACCCTAGAGATAGCTCTCTTATCAATGATACCTGGCTCCTTCCGAAAAAATATATATTTTTCCTGGATGTTTGCTAGGTAACAGTAATACTGACCATTTTACAGCACATGGAGAGGAAAGGCAACTTTGGGAATCTGGCATCATTTAATACATCAAATCTTACCGTAACTTACTGTGGATAAAATGATTGAAGCTTCAACAAAGTACTATCTATAAAAACATTATTTTAGACTAATAAAGGGGTAAATGTGGCAGGCTAATATTTGAGTTTGATATTCTTTGCCCCCAATTTATATGGCTCGTAGAGCAAACTTGTTGCAAAGTTATTAACGGCAAAGGACAAGAGGTTTAATTTCCACATATGGAAAGGCTTCTTCATAATAAAAGTTGGCCATACACCAGTAGAATTTTGTTTGAAAAAAATAAATCACTTTTCCAATGTTTGTTGGATTTTCTAATAGTTAATGTGGTCAAATAAACAATTGTTATCGACCATAATGAGGTTTTCGTTCTGGAACCTCCACTTGTTCCAAAATCGTGTGTGAAAATTAAACGAAATTTCAAACGACATTCGTCGAGTCTCTGATGCCTATATCAAATATTCTGGAGGAGATTTTTAGTATGAGCTGTTAAAATGTGGAATGGGAACCATTCCTCGGGAACTAGTTCTAGTAAGATCAGTTCATTATTTTAAAAAAATTAAAAAACTGGATGCATTCCTGCACACTATAACTGGATATTAAGATTTAATATCAGTAGAATTTTGTTTGAAAAAAATAAATCACTTTTCCAATGTTTGTTGGATTTTCTAATAGTTAATGTGGTCAAATAAACAATTGTTATCGACCATAATGAGGTTTTCGTTCTGGAACCTCCACTTGTTCCAAAATCGTGTGTGAAAATTAAACGAAATTTCAAACGACATTCGTCGAGTCTCTGATGCCTATATCAAATATTCTGGAGGAGATTTTTAGTATGAGCTGTTAAAATGTGGAATGGGAACCATTCCTCGGGAACTAGTTCTAGTAAGATCAGTTCATTATTTTAAAAAAATTAAAAAACTGGATGCATTCCTGCACAATATAAATGTATATTAAGATTTAATATTAATTATAATAATTTAATATAAATGTTAATTAATATTAACATCTAAATCTTTCAAGCAAATTGGACTATGCATTATAGTGTTTTTTTGCCTTCCTCTGGGTCATCTGTGGGTATAGTGTTTTGTATATGAAGATATTCTATTTATTTTTATTTTTTATTGGTTGAACTCAATGGACTTGTGGCTTTTTTTAAACTATGTAAACAAAAAAGAAAAGAAAAACTCTCTGGGGGGAATTTATCATAGCAATTGTGACTGTTTGAACTTGCAAGGAATATATTTGCACCAGATTTATGATGCTAGTGTAATGTTGTTGATAAATGAGGTTTAATAGACTCCAGGAAAGAAGATTTGTAACTCCAGGCAAAAAGCTTAAATGAGAATTATGAGGTGAGTGCTTTTCACTCAGCCTCATAATCTGAGCCGACCTGTGACAATGAAACTGTCACAGGTCGGCTCAGTAGATCGGGAAGTGAGCGAACACATACCGGCGCTCGGTCAATTCCCCCAGTATGTATTTTGATACAGTTTATCCTACATTTTTTGTGCTTTTTTTTCCCCTTATTCTAGATACAGTATTATGAGGTACTGAACACATGGCCCATTTCCTTGATTTAGCCAAAGATTGTTTTGCCCTTTGTTATACAGTATATATTCTATTACACACAAAAAAAGTTAAAATTAAAATCTTACCGTAATTCTTCTAAGGATTGCTGTACTTCTCGCACTGCTTCTGCATCAAGATTGTTGATGAGTTCTTTCCTGTAACGGGCAATAAATGGAATGGTGTTCTCATCCTGGAAGAGCTGAATCAGGTTAGCGCAAACCCAGGGTTCAACATTGGTGCGCTCTGATACAACCTAGAGGAAATATGAAAAGATGTCACCACATAGCTCATGAACAACCCTGAAATCTATTACCCGATGGCTTAGGAAAATGTGGGATCTGTATATTAATGGTCCAATGTCAGCTTCTCCACAGATTCTTATCACAACCATCACCTGATTTATAAAACACACCAACTTTTACTATCATTGTGGCTCATGGAATCACATGCTTCCAGCTCTTTATCATGGCCTGCTGTCTCCTATGATTAAACACATCACTCGGAAAGAATGAGTGGGGTGTCTTCACCACTTTTTCAGTAAAGCTTGTTGAAACAGAAATGCAAATATAGAATTTTTCAAAATGCTCTAAGCCTAAACTCTAAGTTGAACATGGCGAGAGCAGTTTAAAGGTGTGGCCTTCCAACTGATGACTGCCTTTCCTTCCTTGCCATGTTTTGGAGGGAGAATACCCCCACTTTATAACTGTGACAAGTGGTTGCAGCTGGGAACTCAGGGGCAGCTATCCTGTCCCTGCAATTCATGTGAGATAAAGACACCGAGGCTTTACTCATCACAACAAGACTGAAATGCTACCCTTTGGATGGAATGACCCTCTAACAGATAGAACCAGAAAGAATTTTCCTTCCTGCACCCTAACCAATGTGACATATCAGGCTTTTCCCACAACATTCCCACATGTTGTATATGTAATCCTTACCTCTACAAAGTTCCAGTTCATGTCAGTTCCATCACGACCTGAGCTGGTGCCCTTATATTTCACCGGTTTCCCCACAGTGTCAGAAGAAACCTTGAGCTTTTTTGTAGGTGGACCAAACGTGAAGTCATCTGGAGGCTCCTCCTCTTCGGATCTTCTCTCCTTTTTCACCTTACCATCCGTATCCTTGCTGCTGGTAGAGGGGAAATCATCAATACCAAGACTCATCCTCTGCGCCTTCACTTTGACATCCGTATCCTTGCTGCTAGTAGAGGGGAAATCATCAATACCAAGACTCATCCTCTCCGCTTTCACTTTGACTGGCTTTGATTTAGGCTTCTGGGGTGTTTTTCTTTTCTTTGGCTTTTCATCCTTGATTGACTGATCAACAGATATTGACTTTCTCTGCCAAGAAAAAAGTAAAGTATGACCAGTGTTTTAACCTGTCATTTCAAAAGTATCTATAGTCAGAGAGAAAAAGATATGGTGCAGAGAAGATAGGTACTAAGGCTTGGTTTTAAATTATGAAAGCTGGAGGGAAGGGAGCTATTAAAAATCAATGACTTCTGTTGAAAGTTAAAAACTCAGAATCAGTCATCGCTATCCTTGCTTTGCTACATGATGACTTACTTAACAACCATGTGAATATTAGGTGTCCCAACACTTCACTGACAGAATGCTTGTTCCAGGTCACTGAGCCAGTAAGTAATGAAACAAGGTTCAGAAAGACAGTGCCTTACAGCTTTAAACATAGGTTGCAATGAACGGTTCACTTTAAAGGATATCTAAACCCAAGAACAAAATAATAATGTATTGAAGCTTACCAGTCCTTAAATGTGGGAGCTGCATTATGTTTCTTTTTTTAAACTAAAAATATTTTTAGCAAGTATAGAAAATACCTTTGATCTTGCTAGAAATGTAGCATCCTTGTCACTTGCAGTGAGTTGAACTGAAAGCACAATGTTAGCTCTCTTCAAACTACTAACCCCTTAAGGCCTTAAGTAATGGAGATGAACAAAGGCAGACTTGTTTGAAGTCCAGTCTGAATGGCAACCATGGCTCCTTCCATAAATACTTTGCAGGAGTTAAGCTGCAGATTTTCTATGGTCAGATGGAAAAAGTGCAACAGATTCCTCCATCTATGCTAAACTGTGTGGATGGAGGAACCTCCCACTGGGCCAAGCTTCAGTATCTTGCTAGTCAGCCTCGTTGGCTCTCAAAATACCTAAACAATGCCGGCATCCAATCAGATTGTTCAGGTATTTTGACATCCAGTGGGGCCAACTAGCAAGATACTGAAGATTGGCCCTGCAGGAGATTTCTCCATCCACTTAGTTTAGCATAGATGGAGGAATCAGTTGCACTTTTTCCATTTGACAACAGAAAATCTGTAGGTGAATGGCCAGCTTAAGTGTAGCCATCCAGGGACAGGAAGTGTATTATTCACAAGATTACCAGGTGAAAATAAAGGGAAAAAACTTGTAGAAAAACTAGTGCACCACTAAATAAAAGAACTAGTGAGCTGTAAAATATAGAATTTTTGTTTTTGGGTTAGAACAGCTTTAGGGCTAGATGTTCTAAGTTGCTGCCTGACAGTTAAGCCAGTTATAACTAAAGCACAATGTGTAATAAGGCCAGCAATAGTACATTATACTATAATGTACTATTGCTGGGATTTGTAGTCCTCTGTAACTGCTGGTATTCTGCATTGCGTTGTATATAATGTATTATTGCTGGGATTTGTAGTCCTCTATAGCTGGTGGTATTCTCCATTGCGCTGTATAATGATTATACTGCACAATGCAGATTACCACTGACCAGTTATAGAGGAACTGCAAATCCCAGCAATAATACATTATACAGCGCAATGTAGAATACCACCAGCTATAGAGGAACAAATAATCCCAGCAATAATACATTATACAGGCTGCTTAATATATTATTGCTGGGATTTGGTGTTCCGCTATAGCTGCTGGTGTTCTGCAGTGTGCCGCTGTATTATACAATTCAGAATACCATGCAGAATACAATACCATGCAGAACACCATGCACAATACAATGCAAGCAGAATACCAATGTATAATACAGCGGCACACTGCAGAACACCAGCAGGTATAGAGGAACAACAAATCCCAGCAATACATTATACCGGCTGTTTAATATATTATTGCTAGGATTTGGTGTTCTTCTATAGCTGCTAATGTTCTGCAGTGTGCCGCTTTTTTTAAAACATTAAAACGGGTTCCCCTTACCTGTTTCTGAACTGTTGTAAGTTGCTGCAGCGGTGGCGTGCACTGCGAGCGTGTGTCCGGCTTGTGCGGTGGGCGTGGCGTACGCGGCGTGTGCACCACGGGCGTGGTGCCCGCGGCGTTCGTAGCGTAACTCGTGTATGGAGCCGCGAACAGGCGGACGTGAGCGGCGAGCGGGAAATTTACATTTGAGCCGACGAATCGGCGATGGAAAACGTTGACAGCGTTTTGCATCGTCGATTTTAATCGACTTAATCGAATAATTGTTGCAGCTCTAATCCATGGTACACTGATGACATGGATAAATGGGAGTGAGCTGTGTGTATGGGTGGGTAGCTCTAACTCAATCTAACTCGTGACATGGATACTGGGGAGTGAGCTGTGTGTATTGAGGTGTAGATCTAACTTGTGACATGGATACTGGGGAGTGAGCTCTGTGTAGTGGGGTGTAGATCTAAATGGTGACATGGATACTGGGGTGTAGATCTAACTTGAGGCATGGATACTGGGGAGTGAGCTCTGTGTAGTGGGGTGTAGATCTAACTGGTGACATGGATACTGGGGTGTGAGCTCTGTGTAGTGGGGTGTAGATCTAAATGGTGACATGGATACTGGGGTGTAGATCTAAATGGTGACATGGATACTGGGGTGTAGATCTAAATGGTGACATGGATACTGGGGGGGTGAGCTTTGTGTATTTGGGTGTAGATATAACTGGTGGCATGAATACTGGGGAGTGAGCTGTGTGTATTGAGGTGTAGATCTAACTGGTGACATGAATACTGGGATGTGAGCTCTGTGTAGTGGGGTGTAGATCTAACTGGTGACATGGATACTGGGGGGTGAACTCTGTGTAGTGGGGTGTAGATCTAACTGGTGACATGGATACTGGGGGGTGAGCTGTGTGTAGTGGGGTGTAGATCTAACTGGTGACATGGATACTGGGGTGTAGATCTAACTGGTGACATGGATACTGGGGGGTGAGCTGTGTGTAGATCTAACTGGTGACATGGATACTGGGGGGTGAGCTGTATGTATTGGGGTGTAGATCTAACTGGTGACATGAATACAGGGGAGTGAGCTGTGTGTATTGGGGTGTAGATCTAACAGGTGACATAGATACTAGGGAGTGAGCCGTTTGTTTTGGGGTGTTGATCAAACTGGTGATATGGATACTGGGGAGTGACATGTGTGTACTGGGTTGCAGATCTCACTAGTGACATGGATACTGGAACGTTAGTGTGTGAACTGGAGTAGAGTTCTCTGGTGGCACTGATAGGGGAGCGAGTCATGTACTGGAAGGTGCATCATACCAGTAGCATGGACACTAGGAAGTGAGTTGTGCACACAGTAGGGTAGACAGTAGTGGTGGCATTGGCCCTGGGGAAAAAAAGCTATATATTTATTAAGTGAATTGTGTGTGCTAAAGCAGCGATTCTCAACCTTTTTTCAGCCACAGCACCCTTTACAAGTGAAAATGACGTGATGTCCCTCCAAAAACCCATTCCAGATAGGGGTCTGGTATGGATTTTAAGGGGAGCTGACACAATAACACAATCACTGCCACCTTTCACCTCAAAGTTCCCCTTTACATCAGGAGCACCCACCTTTCACATCACAGTCCCCACACTCACACTGGGGGACCCTCTTCATATCAGAAGCCCC